AGATTGAATATGAAATTTTCGCTTAAATAAATGCTTTAATTTTTTTTTTTTAGGATCAAAATAATTCAGCTGTTCAACGTGAAAATATTCATAAAGATTCTGCCGAACGATTTCGTGAAGCATTAACTAAATTTCGTTCAGATCGTGCTGAACAACAACAAAGCGAATCAGTAAAATAATTTTTGTTTAATTAGTATAGAAGAGAAGAAAAAAAACATTGTATATTTTTCATTTCTATTAATTTACATAGAATGAATCAACAGCAAAACGTTTAAATTATGGAAATTATGTTCGACGTTCAACTAAAGATGATTTACTTCATAATGCTGTTAAACCATCACCATGGTCGGATTTTATTGATCTTAAAAAAGGAAATCTTTATTCTATGACAAAAGAAGAAAAGGTGTTGTGTTTTCTTTTTTTGCTTTATATTACATTCAACAAATAAAATTTTGAACTATCTTTTATTTTATTTATTAGAAAGAACTTTATAATCAATCAAAATCTTATGGTGAACGTGTTCGTTATCGAAATTTTGCTTTACATCATGGTACTCAAGGAAATCCAATACAATATCGTCCACGTCCTTTGCCTATTCTAAATCAAGTATGTATTTAATTTTTGTTTTTCATAAAAAAATATTTACATTCTTATTATTAATTAGGAATCTCAATCAAGTGATGAAACAACATCTCATGAAGATATAAATGATGATAATAATGATTTAAAATCATCAAAACGATCTAATTCAAGTTCAACAATAAAAACAACAGCAAGAACATATACAAAACATACAAATAATAATGAAAATATAAATAATCATACATCAATGTTTACTGATCAATCAAGTACAAATCAACCATCAGATGATGAAGATGAAGATATATCAGATTTTAATTTAAGTCGTAAACAAAAACAAAAAAAACGTTTTCATAAAAATAATTCATCTGTACGAACAACAACTGAAACTGAAGAAAGTGAAAATGATGAAACAAGTGAACAACAAAGTATTCGAATGAAAAATCGTGATACTGATGATGATTTATTTACTGTACGAGAAGAAAAAACACTTGAATCATTGGAAGGTGCACGATATAAAAAACGATAGATTGTTGTACGATGACAAAACATTTTTTTTTTTTTTCTTCTCTTTATCTTCTGTTTTTTATTTATTAATAATAAATTCTAATACAGGGCATTCTTCTATGAAAAATAACATGAATATATATTTACTCGATATATTTCTTTATTTTCATGTATATCAAATTGTCAATCGATTTAAGTTTAACGAAAAAAAGAAGATTCATCATTTTAAGTTAAAAATAATTTAAATATTCAGATGAATGACAAGTGATCGATTGTACAAAATGATAGAAAGGTAGAAACAGGAATAGGATGTTCGGATTCAATGATTGTATTTCCGAGCTTCCGACAGGAAATAGCTGTAGCCAAGCAGAGTCGTCCCCCCATCATTGTATTACTACTTTCGAATTCCTACCAGTTTCCGAAGTCTTTCGAATCGTTCTTCTTTAATCAAAACTATTTTAAGTCAATACAGATCGATTATAGCATTGAATTAATTCGATAAATAATATCAATCTTGAAATGATTCTTATCTTATGATTGATGACATTCAATAGAAAATATTGATATTTGAATGAATCTAGTTTGATCATCTAAATCTAGAAAATATGACTACAATCAATTAGAGTTTTATTCTAATCAATATTATATTTTACTAATAATAGATATTATCATAAATAATTATTCTCGAAGCAAGTAAACTTTTCATATTGTTTAACATACAAAATTTGCCTAATGTTTGTTAAGAGAAAAAAAGAAAAAATTTAAAAATTAATTGCAAAGAAAATATTAACATATTACCAATATTTATCTAAACTATGAACAAGAGTAAAAAAACAACATACTTCTATTTTTAACAAATGACAACAAAGAGTACGTAGTTTTTTTCTTTTTTTATTCGTCGCTAAGACGCATTTTACATCAACACCATTTAATACTTTCTCGTTTTTCTCGATCGTTCTCTGTTTAGTTACTTTCCATCAATCTTTTACTTTTTATTTTTGATTATTTCGAATTTTTTTCTTCTTTTTTTCTTTTTTTAAATACTAACTTGTATCTTTTACATTTGCTGAATAACAGCATGATTTTTATTGTAAAGTTAAATTGACTTGAAGTATGTCAAAGTGGTTTTTTTGTATGTTTTACTAAAGAACGTCCTTTTTTTTTTTCTTAGTGATTTTTCATATTGAAATAATTCTTTTTTTTTTAAATCTTTACATCATATTGATGGTAAACGAAAAAAATTTTCTGCGTCAAAGGCTTCAACTATTATAAAGTAAACATTGTGCATTTGTAAAGAGCAACATTTAATGGTCACATACTCAAACATATATTGTATGATTTACTTTGTATGTATGTTATAGTAATAGTATAAAAAAAAAAAAAAAGATGAATGCTCTCGAAGAAGAATACTCATTTTTGGCACCAACATGGAAACTACCTACCGTAGCAACTACATCCATCTATCCTACGACTTTTGATACATATTATTCATCTTCTGGAGCAGGACTAAATTCTGAAACTGTAAGTTAAAAATCTAGCAAAACATATTTTTTATTTGTTGTTGTTTTTTTTGCTTGTTTGACATTTATTACAAAGAATAATGTTTATTGTAATTTCATTTTTCTTCTAAGATTGATCGAAATAATAGAACATACAATGCACGATATCCTCCTCCTCCTCCTCCACCTATTAATCATCGAAATCATCCTCAAACAATAAATCAACAACCACCAAGACGTTCAATACCAGCTGGACCACCTCCTCCTCCACCTGCTCTTCAAAATCATCAACATTCAAAAGATCAATATAATGAAAAGTCGAATGTAAATCTTGATTTAACCGTCTATCATAATTCTCATAATGAATATAATATGCCAATACAACCACGAAATAATGGTTATACAAATCAACAAATTGATAATCGAACATTAAATCATCCACCACCACCACCACAACCAATACAAAAACGTGTACAAATCATTGATCATAATCGTCAAACACCATCAACAGATTATATGTCCGGTAGAGAAAGTCATAATTCATCTCCATATAATAATCATTCACCTGAATCAACTCAAAATCAACAAAAATTTAAACCACGTCATCATCAAAACGATGATAATAAATCTGATTCAATACATTCAAATGTTCCACGTTCAAATAATTTTAATGTTCATGAATATCTTTATGGACTTGCCGCACCTGATCCTGGTTAATTATTTAATATTAATTAATAGAGAATATATAGATTTATTTATTTTTTTGTTTTTATTATATAGGTAGTTATGTAAGTGCATTTAAAAATCATCGACGTCGTTTACAAGATGAAAAAACTAATCAAAAATCAGTTATGACAGACTATAAAACTTTTGTACAAAATGGTGGTTTTGGTCCTGCATTTGGTAATAATACGGATCATCTAGCATTTGAAGAAAAAGTTCGAAATTAATTTTTATTATTAATTTATTTTATCGTATTATTATTTTTTGTTGTTAGCTTCAAACAGAACGAAAGAGAAAAACATATTCAAAATTAGTTCGTGCAGCAAATCAATATAAAGTTGAAGAACAAAAACGTATTCAAAATAATGGTGGACAACAAAGAAATCGAGCATATATTGCACCTATGCCAAGACATCGACAAGTAAAAAATATATATATAATTAATTTAGATATAAACTATTATCTCTTAATATTATATTTTTTAGATTGATGCAACACGATCGCACTTTTTATCGGCAGATGAGGTGAGAGAATTTGAACGAAGAGTTAAACGTGAACATGATGCCAATTGTAAATGTTCTTTACATGCAAAACCCAATCATTCATCTACTTAATTTAAAATTAATATATTGATATATATATTAACTAATATCTCCCTCAACCTTTGTTTACTGATCCAAAAATAAACATATTGATTAAATTTTTATCTATCTGCTTGCCTATTATATAAACTATTTTTACGTTTCATTTTTTTAAAATTCTATGTTGTTTGTTACTTTTTCTTTTTTTTGTTTGCTTCAATAATATAATACATTTCAGACTAATGGATATGCAAATTATATTGAAAAATCTCATGATTTAAGAACACAAGTACGTTTATTTGACCCTATATTTTTTCAGTGTAGCATCATTCTATGCTTTACCTTTTGACATTTATTTTCCTGCTGGGTTTTTTTTAACAACTGTACAGTTAAATGATTTAAAGTTTACTTTTTTTTTTTTTGTTGTCATAAAAAACAAAAAGGTAAGCAGAACGAAATTATAGTCTCATAAGTATCTTTAGTCATGAAAGATGTCAATAAAAAAAAAAACCGATTGTATGTTTTATCAATAACCATATTTAATAGCCGTTGCTATGTTTACTATATATTCTCTTATATTCAAGTAACATTTCGAAATCGTTTGTTTTTTTTTATATGTTAGTCACGATTAGGAATAGTATGTCGATATTCTATCCTATCACCAATATTAATAGCATCATTACCAACTCGTCGAAATGTTTCGAATAGTTCTCTATTATCTCAATCTATTTTGATAAATTTCATCCTTGGAATCAAAATGATATATTATCAGGCGAATATTATGTTGATCGATCAAGTCGATCATCATCAATTTCATCTTATTCTCTATTACCAAAAATAAATCATGTTCCGTTTTTATAGTCATGATTTTATTCAATATGAATCAAATACATTGAATAATTTACCTATTCAAATAAATCATAGAAATATTTTTCATCAAAATAAATCTAGATCAATGAATTTTCATATAGAAAAATTAATTAAAAAAATATATGAAGAAAAAGATCAATTAAAATTTAATAATATTAAACATTTTTGAAAATTTAACTAATCATTATTCATGTTCTACATCAAATCTTATCGAAAAAAAAAAATCATTATTTCACACAGTATGATGAATAATGATATACAATCATCATCATCATCATCATCACTACCACCAACAGTGAAACTAAAAATCATTAACCAACTATATAGATCAAAAAATACAATAATGGCAACATCATTAACAAATTCTACAACAAGAAAATCTATTCTTATTATTAAATCTCCGGAAAGTTCAATAAGAAAATCGACATCACGAAATGTTCATTTTATTCCAGACATAATTATCAACGATGATGATCAGGTTATTCTTTCAAGAACATTCTTTAATTCATTGCAATTTTCTTTTTTTTTTTTTTGTCTTCGATAGATTACAATGCCCATTCAAGATTCATTAACAATACAATCAACAAAAAATCAAATACGAAAATTATCATCATCCACAATGACAAAATCAATGAGAAAAATAAAAATTAATCAGCGAACATAAAGAATCGCTTTCAACTTCTAGAAATAATAAAAATCTCACTCACGACTAAAACAATATAATAAAAAACACAATTTTCTTTCTGTTGTTAATAAAAAAAAAAAAAAAGAGAGACAGAGAGAGGAATACTTCACTTTGATATTTATCTAACTATATTCGTCCTCGAACAAGTCGTGCACAAACTCATTGAAATATATATATATATATATATCCGTTAGTTATGATATCTAGCAAATTTACAAGAGCATTTCTCTTTTGTCTGATAGTTTTCTATTATTCCATTCACAAAATAGAATAGTATTCTGTTTGTGAATTGTTCATGCGTAATGTAATCGAATTGACGTTTGTTAATAATCACTTATTCATCTTAATTATTTTTTTTTAAACTCGTATATATATATATATTGAAACAAGATAAAAAGAAGAAATGAATCACTAATAATGAGGATAATAATAAAATATAATACATTATGCTTTTAACAAAGACGACCAAGATTACTTCCTATGATGTTATTTAATAGTAAAATAGATAAAAAGAATTTTTTTTTTTCTCTCTTTCGTTGTTTTTTTCTGCCACAAGGAATCTATGATTTGAGAACATATGTAACATTTAAAAAAAGAGGTTCTCGTTTCATTAAGAAGAAAGATTTCTCTTTTTTTTTTTTTTGGAAGGGAAAGATATTTCATTATTAGACTCATATTAATTCATCAACATGAATAGCCGTAGGCAAAAACGAAAAAAACTCAGAATAACTGTTGATTGCATCAATTGAACTGTAATTTATGTGATTACGATGTATTTGGCACATCCTACATAACCCTTATCATCGTAAACTAATAGAAAGAGAAAAAGAGAAGACACATCATACACTTCATGAGAAATTCGATCGGTATGTTATCCATCCATATAGTAAAAACAGAAAAAAAACCACGATTCGACCTTCGATTTTGATTAGGTTTATGTTTTTTTTTTTTTTTTACAGAAAAAAAAAAAACCCCCCTTAAATCTAGACTCATTTCTCTTCATTAAATCTCATTTTTTATGTTGACACATTAGAAAATCAGTGAGAAAAGCATGCATCTATATTCTGTTGTATACAAAGAATAGGTTTTTTTGAAAACCGGAAAGCAATACGACGAGAATGAAAGGTGTACTATTTACATTTTCTTCTTTTATTTTTTTTTTTTTTTTGTTGCTCGTATTTCTCGTCATCATCTTTTTTTCCCTCTTTATTCAACTAAAAGAGTTAGAAAGAATAAGAAGAAAAGATCAATCTTGAACACCCTTTTTACTATGCTGCTCGGTGACTTTTCCGTTTTTTTTTCAGATTTTTCTTCATTCTTTATTCTGATTCTGTCGTCTCTCTTGTCACAACAACAACATAACGAATGATAAATAAAGACATCGTATAGGTTTGGATTTTATTCAATAATTAATCAAGTGCGTGTGTTTCTTATGCTTCGTTTTCTAAGTATTATCAAGGCAAACCTATATATATGCAAAGGAAATAAGGTAGATGTCTTTCTATAGACGATTTTTTTTTCTTCTATAGAGAGAAAACAAGTGTGTATGTCAATACAAAATAAGAACTTTGACACATTGCTATATATATATATATATATATATACCAATTCATAGACAGACATGTAGATATAACAAGTTGGAAATTGTTTAATCAACCAACATCATATAAGAAAAAAAAAACAGATTCTATATATTACATCAATTTTTTTTTTCTTCTCTCTTTTCAATTTCATATCTTAACTGAAAAACAATCCTATTTGTCTACCTCCTGTTGTTCGATACAAAATTTTTTACTTCGATACACTTGAAGAAATTATCTACACCTTATTTTAGTTTTTTTTTTTTTTTTTTCTTTTCTACTTTTTATAGTTTGAGTATTTATAATGTTTTACTCAATCATATTCGGATTCATTATTTTATCGATCATCGTTACAGCTGATCCTGAACCATCAGTTCATACTGGTCCTTATGCAGCACAACAACCACCACCATATAATTATTATGAATATCGATCTCAACAACAACAGCAACAACAACCAATGCCATCATCGGATACAGGTAGACGAAGTCCAAATAGCAATGATTATCCTGATCAACAATATCCATCATCTTCATTAGCAGTAACATATGGCAATTTAGGAAACAAAAAATCATCAACAAATCAATGCAAATTACATATTAATTGTCCAAGTAAATAGTTGAAGAAAAATCTTTTGACTAGTGGTTTGTTTTTTTTTTCCTTTTGATTTTAGATGCTCGAAGTCGTGTTACACTTGATATTCAAGGACCACCAGGTACTCTTTTGTTTCCTTTCTTCGAAAAGATAAGAATTGATATTAAAAAAAAAACAAGTTTTTTTTTTGTTTTAGGACCACCAGGTCCACCGGGTAAACAAGGCATGCAAGGTCCAAGTGGTCCTCCAGGTTTACCTGGACCACCAGGTAAACTTGAAAAAAACAAAAAGACAATATCTTTTTCTTTTTAAATCTATCAATAATCTTATTTTCAAGGTCGTGATGGTTATTCAAATTTAAAATCAGCTTTTTTTGTTGCATTAAATAAATCATATTCATTACAAGATAGTGCTGCTATTATCATATGGGATGATGTTATATTAAATAAAAATCTAAATCTAAATAATAATACTGGTATTTATTATGCACCTATTAATGGTTTATATGAATTTAGTTTAACTGTTTGTGTACCAGCTAATCAAATTGTATGTTGAATTTTTTTTTTGATTAAAAAAAACCTATGTTCGATATTTATTTTGTTTCTAATTGATTTGTATGTTTGTTTTTTTTTTTTTAGGCATCAGTTGCTTTATGTAAAAATACTGAAAATGTTGTACCATTATGGGTCGAAGGTTTTTTAACAGCTGTTAAAAATCAAAAAGTACCTATTTGGAATACAGCATCAACAACAGTTATTTTATATTTAAATAAAGGTGATCGAATATATATACGTGCACAATCACGTGATGATGGTGATTATCATTTTAAAACATCATTATATGGTTGGAGATATACAACATTTGGTGGATTTTTGATACATGAAGACAATTAAATAATTATCATTTTCTTCTTCTTCTTCTTCTTGTTTGTTTTTCGTGTTTAAAATTATGTCTCCATGTGATATAGTTTCTAAACCCTTACTTTTAACCTTATTATTATTGTTTTCTTCTTTTCTTATTGTTTCGTAGTTGTATTAAAGTAGACAAAGGCACTATTGAAAGAGAATGTGAAATATTAAAAGCAACATCACAAAATCTCTTTGAATAATGCTTTCGTTTGAATTAAAATTTACTACTGTTGCAATAAATTCATATGTGCTTGTATTTATACTATTGTCGCAAACTTTCTTTCTCTCTCTGTCTCACACATTCTCTCGTTTTTTGATTCGAAAAAGAAGTGTATACTTATATGAAACGCATTCAACCATAAATTTGTCGGTAAAAAGCGAGAAAAAAAAAAAGATACAGATAATAATGACTAGCTCGATCAATATGAATAGTCATCAGTCATTGAACACATATACGTATATGTATATCTCCATTGATTTCATGCTCTTTCTTTATATATTGCTCGAAGGTATGTTGAAAATAAACAGACCGAGCAATGCATATTATCGTGTCACATCTATTTTACCATATTGGATATCTTTTCAACTATCTGTCTCTTTTTCTTTCATATTTTAAATAGAATATAATACATGAATCATTTATAATTGACAATATGATTTTGAATCTCATCATATCAAAAAGAGTAAAGACTTAAACGATTATCGTTTCTTTCAATTGTATTACGAGAAAAAAACAGATGACTATATATTTGCTTTTTATATATTTAATACGAAAGAAAAAAAAACAAAACAACGAAAGCTTGATCAATATAATTAGAATATATTAGATATGTGCGTCAAATCGGAAATAACTACGAACAATATAACGAATCGATTTATATTTAGATGATCGATTGTTAAAATTTTAAATAATTCTTTTACTCAGATAAAATCCAATATAAATCGAGTATCTCAATTTATTTAATATCATTTACAAAATAGTTTTACATTATCGTATTGAAAAGTTTTTTTTTTCTATATAATTTAATATTGACTGATTTATCAGAAAAAAATTAAAAAATGATATTTGTATAAGATTTTATTTCAATTGAAAACGTGGAATATTGTTAATAAGTTCAATTTCTTTTCTACATACATATATCATTAATTTATACAATAGATTGAAAATCTATTGTATTTGGTCGATTGTTTTCTTTTTTGTTAAATATCTTTTTTCTTTCAGTGAAGATTTTCAAAATTAGAATATATTTCTTTTTTGATTGAAAATTTTATTATTCTTATAATAACAAATAACATTCATTGAGATTCGATTCATTTGGTTATCGACGAACGGCACAGAGATATTCATATCAAATATGCATTAAGTATTAGAAAAATTTCAAAAATGACTTGAAATATTAAAATAATTCATTTGACACAACTAATGTAAAACTTAAAAATTCGTTTTATCATATTTCTATCAATGATATGTAATTATATATAGTAGAATATTTAAAATAAATCAGTTTGAAAGTGAAAAATTTCCGATTCATATTATTTTAAGTCTTCTTCGTATTTCAAATAAAACATATGTTATAAACAGAATAGGACATAAATAGTACTACGATAACAAATTGAAATATCTCCGGTTCGGTTCACTCGAATGGACTGATCTTTTCTTTTTTTTTTGGTTAATAGTAGAAGTTTATTGAAAGTTATTTTTCATTATGACTAGCATAAATAAATACTACTGTCAATTTATATTTTCAGTCTCACTAGAGAATTTCTACTTATTGTCAAGTAAGAAGAAATCAAAACGAACTTTATAGATGAACCTATATTGATGCGCATAGATTTGATACAAATTTTTAAGTTGAATAGTTTTGAAAACTTGTTTTATATACATTAAGAGAGTATT